CAATCAACATCCCAGGTCTCTCATCCATATATCTCTAGAGGTCCAATAATCCGTTTATCACTTAAAAGTTAAAGTAATTCATCCAAAACACCATGCATACTAAACATAGGAGTTTGAAAACTCGCTTCTAGAGATATTTCAACTTAAAAATTATCTAGAAGCGTTAATGTTCAATAATCTGAAGTCTTACGCTGTGACAAGAATGCTTCCTGTGCAAACCTTGCGCTGATAACTCTGAAGAGCGCGTTTGGCCAGTCTGATAGTAAAACTTTCAACATAATTTTTAACTGATTTATTCGGCCCCTATTAAGAGTACGGAATGGACTTTTTTCACTCATTCCGCAGTGATAATAACATACAAGTATGTATCACGAAGTGAACCACGAAAACAGCTCAAGGAGTAAGGGCATCTCTGAAGTAACCTTTTAATGATATAGCATCCTAAGCACTTTCAGGCACCTTCTTATATACTCAATTAAACTAATTCCCCACACAAATCTCAGGGGTGATACCTGGAAATTTAGGGATGCAAAACTTCAGAATGAACTGTAGACACGCCCTCAACTATTTAAGATTAGTCAAATTCTGGAATTCTCTGCCTTCTGAGGTGTTTCAAACGACTTTCCACTAGTCATTTGAGGAAAAACGCAACATGGTCTCTGGGACTAAGCAAATAATTCAAAACATTTTACTTGTTTTCTGTCAAATTTACCTAGGTTCATAAATAGAGACATCACTGATCCACTGCTATTAGATATGGAAGGTCCTTAAATGAAATCTTCATTTCTGTTCACAATCATCTGGAAAACTTATGCTCTCATTTTCAATATGAGAACTAACGCGCTTTATAGAAGTTGTGTTGTGGCAGACAACGTTTAGTCGAATTTTGTAACATTATTTATACATTGAAATAAAAGGGACCTTTGATTTAAAGTTATTGATTATTTGGATCGATACATTTAATTAGGAAGTAACAGTTAGCTGAGAGCTAATTGAGCCGACAACTTATGTACATCTCATCAGGGCCAAATTTCCGGATTTTGGGAAAACCCTGAGCAATGGGAATAACGGTGCTTCTCTTAAACTCATTGGAAGTTATGGAGAAAAACCCTAAAGCCAGTGTGATGAAGTTGTAGGAGAAAGAACTTACTATGCACGGTATCGTTCAGGCGTTTTAGACGTAATTATTATAAATAATATTGTTTTTTGCATGACAGTCAAGTTCACCACACATTCTATTACCAATGTTTAGGCCTTATTTTAATGTCATATAAACACAGGACGAAGAAGAGTTAGTTCCGCTCCACTTTTCCAAAAGCCTTACGCTGAAGATGCCACAGGTATTTGGAGTTTGACAACGCTTTAACCAGTAACACATCAAAAGACAGAAGCGAGAAGGTTTGAAGATATGTTTGATAGGCCATCAATATATCGTGGATCGGCTGATCTAATTTGGCTAGTGATTGCGATGGATGTTGAGCACGGCGTTCCACCCGTGATTTGGTGCGGATACATGACCGAGCGTCTTTAGTTAGGTGAGTTCATTAAAATTAATGTGATTAGCATGAAATGTTAAAGACTTACAGAGACATTGATTTCGGCGATTTATTTACCTCTACAACATATAGCATATTTATCCTGAACTTAATACAGTAAGCCTCTGATACGACTTATTGTTATTTGGAATTTAACAGTTATTATCATTTGCTTTAAAGCACATGCTGCAAATTAATGAGGTGAAACGAACAAAGGACGCCTGATAGATTCAAAGTGCTTTTCTATGAACCGATGAAATCTCTACGGGCACCGAAATAGTGAAAAATAAAATGTCGGCGAATACAATCCAATGCATTACCGAGCGCCATCAGCTAGGTGAGTCCATTAAAACGAATATGGTCAGCATCTAATGTCGAAGACTTACGGATCTATTGATTTTGAGGATTTATTCACTGCTACAACGCCAAGCAAGTGAGTTACCGTTACAAACTACTATTACTCCAATGGTCCAGCTTAACTACATGCAGCAACCAACAGAGTGTCAAACATGAAAGGCTGCCATAGTACGTTATTTTAAAGAGGGTTGAAGTTGAGTTTACGAAATAGCACAAATTTACGATCACTGACAAACAAACATACAACACTATACACGCGAAAAATGTAGTTAACGTTGTAGCAACGCAGATGGGATTGCCTCGTATAATCCAGGTTATTGTGCATCTACGGTAGCCAAATTTATTGTCGTGTTTTCTCAATAAACTATGCTAAGAAAGTATGAGTACAGAAATTTAGCAACCGACGATCTGTCAATGAAAGAAACGATATGTAGAATTGTCGTCAGTAATATGAAGGGAGGTGAAATCACTGTTTGGAAGGCGACTGAAACCATGGGCCTTTTTACTAACGGTTATCCCAATGTAAACATCAGCATATTTATTTTCAACACTGGGTGTACTTGGCGTGCAAACAACCAACTCTCAAACTCTGTAATCTATGTTCCCCTTTCCATGATATCAGAACAACAACATGAAAATTAACAAAATACGATCATTTCTCTACAGCAGTTGTGTCATCTACTGATAGTGACTTATCAACTGAATATACGTCAGTAAACTCAGTGATAGTGCCTGCGCGGTTAGTCTTAGAAGAAATGTAATTTACAATTCCCCTTGTAAGTTCAGAATATGACATGGGTCCATCATAGTAGTTTTAGTGGCGCCAACGTAGCAATATTATATTATGGCTGTTATTGAAAAAGCATACCCTGCATCTTCCGATCTTGAATGACTCCTCGACAGGACTGTCATTTGGGCTTTTGACCTGTGAATCACTATGTAACATAAAATGGCATACTGTTATGCGCTCTAACGTCACATCGCCTTGATGATCTGCATTAAATGGACCTATGTTCTTGTCTAATAGAAAAGAGGAAAATACCCCCGGCTTTCGCTTGCGGCCAGCACCAGAAAAGTCATTGTTAAATAGCACTATAATTGGAGCACATAATGTACCCGCGTGTTACTACGGAACTACTCAGACTGTAAATGACGACTCACCTTCACGTTGTGCCTTCTTCTGGGAAGGGTTGGTGACCGTTGAACTCATTACTTTCGACTCTGGCAAGGGACTCTATAGAGTTAGTGATTTTGACAAACGCGGGACCTCTACCATTTTCCGTCACTTTATCGACCAAGTCTACTCAATGTACTTGCAGTAACTGGAGCAACAACCTTCCGACTCCTTTAAAAATCATTAATGCGTTTTAATCGGCAGTATAGTTTGTTCGTTCCAGAATCAATTTCCCACACAGCCAGTTTCGGTAACTTTTCAGAAACATTATAACCAATGTCCACACCAATAAACAAGCTTTCCATGTCTACCCAAGCAATTACATGAAGCTGTCTAAATGATAGCTTCGAATCTTCTCGTAATTTATTACAACTAGCAAAAGGGTCCATTATCATACATCCCTTGACAGCTACCTTCAACTTGTTACTGCAGGTACGTCTCGAACTGCCGTACTAATTACCATTACTCCGTTGGCTGTCTACCGAAGTAACTCAATTATACCTATACAATGGGGGACAACATTGTCTGATCCCCAGAAATAGCATGAGATCACTACATTTAAGGCGACTTCGCCCAATAATCATATATTTGTATAGTACTGTCAATTTCATGCTGAAGCTGTTTGGAATTATTATTGTTAGGTTTGTGTACTTGGACAATTCATGAAAAACAAACCAGCAGCTCTGCAGTGAATGTTTACAGAACTGTATGAACGAAGGGTATTCAAATGAGCTGAAATGCTAAACATTATATAAAACCGCTTGAATGTAGTAAGGGAAATATTGAGTCTGGATGCACAAATGAAATGTTGCCTTTTCATTTCATGGCAATTATTGTCATTACTTTCATAAAGCTAAGACAGTATCATTTTTATTGCGACCGTTCAATTCAGCTTGTAATAGGATTTCTCAGTGGGATGTGAAACCAATTTAAAATTGCAAACACAAATCAAAGTGGCAATTGGCATAGGAAATTAACAATACCATCAACCAGTGAAATACCGGTAGACTATAAAAAGCCGTAAGAAAGTAAAACGTTTACTGGTCAGAAACACCACACTCCTTTCTCCTACGATATTAGCCTATCTTATGTCTGTGGTATGTTTGAATACTGCCTTAACCTAACCACGCCGCACACCTTGTTGGGATGCACTGCCTCTACTAGTTCCATGTTACAAGTAAATTAAACAGTTAAAGCTTCTATATTGTGGGTTAGATATCCATTTAGTATATCACAAAGTTAACTCATGGCATAAATTATAAGATTCCGGCCAGATGACATGCGGTTTGGAGATGGTAAGGAAAAATAGCTTATCAAAGAATATGAAAAAGAGTTTAGGGTTGTAAAATCTATGAATAAGCCTACAAGTGGGAAAGGATAAACATTCCAATGCTAATAAATTTAGGATATTACAACTTAAAACTGGTAGAAAGACCACACAGTAGTATAGGTTTATTATAATCGGCTATAGTTAGTCAGGGTCCACAGATTTCATGAGTTATTTGTGAATTGAGAAGGAACACGGAACTTCGTGGAAGAAAATGTTGCAACTTTAAACATTAAGGAAACTTCTCATGTGAATGTGAGGGTTAGTATGACAAGACGGGACCGACTATATTTAGTGAGAGAAAGATCATGTGTTCTATCATTTGGTTATTCATGTATAAATGGCACTATACTCATGATCGGTTAATACTTTCTTAAGATAAGTATGGATGTTTATTGTATGTCTATATGGTTATTTTACATGTACTAGTACTGGTAAGGTTTACATTCTTATTCTACCGTTTTATAATCATACTATTTTTGCTAAAGGGACTCAGTTATTGGACATCATCGTGTATAATTTTTAAGACTACAAAAAGGAATTATATGTATACTCGAAAAGTGGATAAGTCTTGACAACAAGAACAATAAACTATGAATGCCCTATATATATGTAATTTAATGAACTATATGTCTTATGTGATAAGCCAAAATTCTAATCGAAAATAACACCATTAGCGCGAATTTCGTAGGGATATTATCTTGGCTATTACATAGCAAATGAAAACCTTTTTTTGATTGTAAAATTCCAGAGTACAACAACAAACAATCTGAGTTTAAATCTTTAGAAGAATAATGATTACGTTCTAACGAATAAATAAAAAATAAAACAATTCCATTTAAAGTAAAATTATGCACAGGAGAATTATAAAGTTATAAATTTGATACAAGTGAAATAAACGTGGATATTATTTGTGTGAATCAACAGAAAAATCCTCACATTCACTATCACTAAAATCTTCTATAGGTGTTTCAAGTGATGGCATTATATCGATTATCTGAATTTTAAAGAATAATAAAATAGATTACCGTAAAGAACTGAATTTCAGATAAATGGTTTTAGAAAAAGGTGATTTTATATGTGAATTACTAAAATTAGTTGAAGAAATAACAATTGATTTGTGAGCACCTAACCAGGCTAATATAATTTCAATACATTCACTTATGTACCATGGTCTTATTTCTTACTCGAATGCTGATCCAGTGGTGATCATTAGAGTAGTGGTTGACTAGTGTTATTTAGCACATTATCTTAAGTAGATCACTGTTTACCTCATTTTGAAATCTACTGAAATAACAATAAAACTATTTTGAAGAAACCGTTTGAACTTTTGAATATAAAATATAAACATGAAGAAGCTTTTCAGCTCTCAGATAAATCATTTCTCCATAGTCTACTCTACAGATACTATCTGTAAATATTGAAGGATTTCTGCAACACTATCATAATATCTAAATTAACCTTATTTTGAAAATTTATTTCGAAGTGAGACTGGGACCTGGCTATTATTCTATCTAACATTATGACAGTATTCAACTGTGTCCGTGAGTCGATGTGCTCATTTAATAACTAAGTTAATATCAGTGTATTTAGAAAGACAGAGATAAAAGGAAAAGAGCTTACTCAGTGAATATTATAGAGTTATGAATTACCTTAAATGAAAGATTTATTTTTCTCTAATATTTGAATGTTATGTAGTGTTTACACGACTTTCATTAATGTAATTCAGTGTACTTTTAAGTGCAAAGTCATCAGTTGTCCAAGAAGTAAAACCCAAGTTGATTCCTAAGGCAGTATTCAGCTTTTGTTGAACGAATTATTCGAATGACCAAAATCACCACCCTACCTTAGTGAGTCCGGTTACAAGTAAATAACCGTCAAATAAAATTACGTCACTCAGCTACGGGCACTACGCCTTTCAATGCAGTCTTTTATTGATCAAGAGGTGAAAAAATGTATAAGGTATCTATACAACAAAAAATAATTATTCATAGATAATGTTGCTTAATACACTGTAAATTATTACACAATAATTACAGATTGGATTTCATTTGGTGCATTCGTACAGCTAACAAATTTTCTGGAACTAGTTCTGACTTATCTAAACTTAGTTATTTTAATTTTACTGGATCATTTAGAAGCTTTAGCATGAATAATTTTCAAAAAAACAGTGATAAAACTATTATTCATTCTCATATTTCCTCAAAAGGAAGTGAATTAACTGATGAAATTCCCCAAATAAAGTAAAGAAAAATAACTACATCTCAGTTTGTCAAAGTATACTAACAAACCTGTTCAGGTCTAAGCCATGATATAAATTGAAGAAGAAGCCAGTGTAAAATAGCGGAAAAACATGTTATTTTCCCAGTAAGTGGACCAAGTTGGTACAATCTGAATTAAAAGGAAGTAAACCAGAACATAACAAATGGTAAACACATATATGCACAAATGTAAAGCATCTTATATTTGCTTCCAACAATTTAGATAACATAGTACCAAAATTAGTTCAAAGTTTGGTAAATTCTGAAAAATGATTGAGATAATGTCTGTGAAAACTGCTTAAACCTAAAAAATTTAGATAAGTAATGGATTCTAATACAGTATGCCACCGAAAACACTATTTGCCAAACGAGTGAAGTGAATATACTCTGAAGAAATAATGGGGAAAAGGGTAGTATAATCAAGTGAATAAACAAGAATAGTATTTAATAAGAAATTTAATCCAAATAAAAATATAACTAACAAAAACTTTTTTCAGTCAAGGAAAATCATTTTATCAGTATAGGGTTGTGGAGAAGCCGTGACCAGTGGAGTTCAGCTATGTCAGGTGTGAGGCAGTTACCCACTAAAACAATGGAGAATGGTCACGCGATGTCGTGGATTGGTTGAAGTTAAACATTAACACCGTTGGATGCCGGCTTAGTTGTTTAGACTTTAAGCGTTCGCACGCGAGGCCCAGTGTTTTGGGTTCGAGTACTGCGTGCTGAGTCGTGGGTGTGCAGTGCAGAGGAACACCATACTAGAAAGAAACAGCCGCCTAATGCCTTCAGGTTCTGAATGGTGGAAAAACTGATAGGTTCATGATCTCAATTAAGATCATTTTAATTTTATGAAGAGCGAAAAAGAAACTACAGTACGATCATTATTAGCTTCTAGTCTGAACAATATAACTTCTTAAACCTCTGAGTCGCCGTGTCATCGATTTTCCCACTTAGTTCTAGCGTTGGTAAATAACGCAAGAAGGAAAGGCTGCTTGTGTAACATTCGTGAGACATGTCTAAGCCACTGAAGTCAGTGTTTTGAAGTGGTGATAATACGTGAATCATCATCATTAGGTTTGAACACACATTTGTGAACTCCAACATTACTCACATGGTGTTGCCACCGGAGACAGACGATCGAACACATAGTCGCCTAACATTCTCAACTTGGAAGGACCACGTTTTCCAAACGCATAAAAAATATGTCGCCGTCACACCTAAGTTATAAAGTAATCGAAGGTGAAAATGCAGGTTATGGAAGAATCATTATGGTTATTCTTTTGCACGAATTACCAATTTTTATGACTATCTTAGTGATCTATTTCAAAATGACAGTACATGTCGAAGTTATGGATTTTGTAATGAGCTAATTTAATAAAATTAGAATATCAGATAATTCCAAGTTATACAAGAATCAAATTATTTACGGAAGAACAGTTGATATTTACAAACATTAGCTTTAGTTATATGAAGTGAAACGTGTAAATTAAAACTTTTAAGATAAAAACTATAGACGAATGAGTAAAAGGCTTTTTGATACCTAGACAGAACCACAATTCCTACGATCCACTTTTTGTACAAGGAATACATTTTTATTATCTTGAAATGTGCTTATTTGTACTTTTTAATAGGTGGACTGGCTAAATCTTCTTTCCATTGCTGATTTATAAATGGAATTTAAGTCAGTGTGTTTGCATGATAAAACTGTGATTTTAGCAGAATAGCATGAATTCATTTTATTTCGTAGGTTCTCGTCAGCTGCTTACAACCTGTGATATTTAAAAATCATAATTGCATAATGGATTTAAATTGCTTACAAAATATTGTAAATATATACCTAATGTGATAGAATATTCTACAACATTAATTGTGACAACAGTTCAAAAATGGGTTAGAAACAATTGATTACATAATGAATAAACATTGATAGGAATATAGTGATTAGAGTTCAGTTGAAAGATTATTAATTTGAAAGATAGTTGAAAAAATAAATTAGAATCAATGATGTAATAAATGCAACAGAAAAAAGAGGAAAGAAAAAAAAGAAAAAAAATTTTAAGGTTCAGTGAAGGAATATTTGTCACCAGGGTAAGGAAAGATTAACCACCGTCTCCTTTTGAATACATAGGTCAGGTTTTTGTCGCCTGATGGCAATGGCTTCAGCAAACTTCAGAAGACTGGAGTTTGGCTGCTTACTAATCACCCTAAAGGATTGTAAGGTATCTACCTGATGTCCTGTATCAAGGAGATGTTTGGTGATCGCACTGTTCAGAGTCTTTCTTTCCCTTGTTCTAAGACTTTTTGGAACATGTTCAAAGAATCTAAGATATGCTCTCCTTTCAGTTCGGCCGATGTAGCTGCTTTGGCAGGTACACGTAAATTTATAAATACAGTTGGCGGTAACATGAAAGGGTTGCTTGTCGATCTTTGATTGGGTTATTGAACATGTTGTTTTATAGAGAATTAAAAGTTTAGCAGCCGGATAAGTTCTGGCTAGCGCTGTATTCAGTCTCTTGTTGATAATTTGTGCGACGTCATCACCTTTAAAGTTAAGATTTATATATACTGGTTTTTTATTGACCATAGTTATTTCCGTCTTCTTTTCCTTGGGCCTTTTATATTTGTCAATAAATTTTTGTGGATAAAAGTTGTCTTTTAGGCATTTTTCTACGTTCATTAATTCTTCTTCCAGTTTGTCGGTGGTGCATATCTTTTCTGCCCTGTAAAATAGTGTTTTAACCAACGCCTTCTTGTAACTAATTGGACAAAAACTATTGAAATTCAGGTAGAGGCCATTCCAATTACTTTTTCTATAAATTGAACGTTGAATTGTCCCGTCTCCCCTGCGTTTTATGGCAACATCACCAAACATCTCCTTGATACAGGACATCAGGTAGATACCTTACAATCCTTTAGGGTGATTAGTAAGCAGCCAAACTCCAGTCTTCTGAAGTTTGCTGAAGCCATTGCCATCAGGCGACAAAAACCTGACCTATGTATTCAAAAGGAGACGGTGGTTAATCTTTCCTTACCCTGGTGACAAATATTCCTTCACTGAACCTTAAAATTTTTTTTCTTTTTTTTCTTTCCTCTTTTTTCTGTTGCATTTATTACATCATTGATTCTAATTTATTTTTTCAACTATCTTTCAAATTAATAATCTTTCAACTGAACTCTAATCACTATATTCCTATCAATGTTTATTCATTATGTAATCAATTGTTTCTAACCCATTTTTGAACTGTTGTCACAATTAATGTTGTAGAATATTCTATCACATTAGGTATATATTTACAATATTTTGTAAGCAATTTAAATCCATTATGCAATTATGATTTTTAAATATCACAGGTTGTAAGCAGCTGACGAGAACCTACGAAATAAAATGAATTCATGCTATTCTGCTAAAATCTTTGTTCTTGCTCTTTTCAAAATGATAAAGGGAACTATGTGTATGATAAAACTGTTTTTTTTAATTCTTCGCACAGGAATAACTGAATGCTCCAGAACGAAATAATAACACATGTGACCAAGTTGGTACAAATACAACAATCTGATATCTTTAGTCATATTTTTTAATAGTCGTCCATTTACCTTCTGAAGATTAACGTCATTTGAGTGAAAGAAATCAAAGTTTACTTGAACTATTTAATTTCTATACAGTGATTAATTTTCAGGCTTTATAGCACTAATTAGTTGAGAAACTACGGTACAATAAAATGATTGTCAAAACAAACTACAACCTACTGAGAAAGAGAAGAAAACTATATTACTTTCTTTTGGACATACTATCCATGCTACTAATTAAACATCCTTATTCAAATTATTCACGCCAGATGAAACGAAGTTATTAATAAATGTATGTTGGAAAATGTAGTCTGATAATGAGATCTAGATTAAAAATATCTCACGGATGAAAATCCCTCTATTGAGAGCTATATTTACTTTTGTTCTGAAAGCTAAAGATTACAATCAATTAAGTTATATCACAGAAACACTTGGAAATTCAGTTTATATTCTTACCTTGAGATTCTGTCGTGTAGTGAAACAGGTGGTTTAGACATAGCAGCAGAATAGACTTTTTCCGTACGTTTAGCAACTAGAGGCCAACAATACATACTACGAATCCATTTATGCATATGCCAACAATGATCATTAAGTGAATTACAATTACATTCCGTACCATCAAAGTGTGTAGATGGATCAGCGACCAATGAAAATCGACAAAGAGGATTCGGAGGTGATGTACATATGTTCACCTTTTGTAAAATGAGTAGGTAAATAACATTTTTAAAAAGGACTGATGTTTATGTATACGAATATAGCACTTAGTTTTTATTGATGTTGATTAAGAGCTAACAGTGTAATCTAGAATGAGCATTTATCTCACTTGAGTCTTGCGGTTGGATGTAGTACCTGAGTTCCAGTAATGAATTCCAAAATGAAACTTGAACCCAGTATTTTTCGTCTTACATGCCAGTCTATTTTCCACTGAGTTAGTGAATTCAGATAATTTTAAAAGGGAAATAGGAAACCTCGCAAGTAACACTAAGCTGTTATTGTATAATGTATATGTATGTATACACAACAGAACCCTGAAGAGCCAAGTTTTGATGTGATATTTCGGCAACAAAGATCATTCCGGTTCACCGAATCCCAGCTTCAGGATTTTTCGTTTTAGTATACTTAGGACCAATAAAGAACTTTTTAGTACTTTAAAGGAGCCGAGATTATTTTATTTACAGTATTGAACAACTTTTTTTTAAAAACTTCCCTGTTTACCACTAATTTTCCTCACCGATTTCATTTTAAAATTTTAGTTAGGTTCGTCGGATAAAACAAGTCATAGTATGAATTTTAAAAAGCGAATGAATACATGAAATATTTTGTATCAAGAGTGGTTATCTTTTCACTCGTAGATTAAACAGTTCTCTTTTAACATGATTAACAGAAATATTTAAAAAAGACAAATTAACAATCAGAAACATCAACTATGGATAATAAAATGGTGAATATACAGTTGTAAGTGTTCAGGAAGAACTAAAATACAACTTTTGTATGATAACTATGAGGTAGATGGGAAATAGGATGTAACCTATAGTTTAGTGACTGATAGTTGTAAAACTAGTCAGCGCGTTCACTTAAATCATATGCCCAGAAGAAATCAGTTACTTTCAAGTATATATAAAGTCGTCTCCCAATGAAGGTTAAAAATCTCAAACAGGTTTTAGTTGATATATGATGAATATCGAACATGTTTAATGGACAAAAAACCCGTTTTATTTATAAGGAAAACAATTAGTTTTCATACATGCATAAAAATTACCTTGTCTGAGGTTAAATTATCCATAGCTTCTTGTTCATGAGTTGTAGGTTTCGAATCCTCGCGTTGCCGCCGAACTTGAATAATAGAATCTGCAACAATAGCTGCTAATTCTGAAGCGTTTGCTGGTGCAAGTCTAATAAAATGCTCGGGTAAAACTTCCGGAAGTCCCCCAACAGCTGTACTGATAACCATTAAGCTGAAGAAAATTTTTCAATACAATTACTGAACACACAGATTAGCTGAATAAATTATGGCATATCTTACAAGAAAATCTACAATCAATCGTACACATTTGAGTTCTAAGTTATATGAAAAGTCCAAATTTTAAAATAAATTAAATCGAAATAGATATTTACCAATATGACATTGATAAGTGAATAAACCTATACCAGTTGGGGGAAGCAGTGATACAGCGTCTTCTCGTAATCTCCTCCTCAGCTGGAAGCTTGTCTGTTCTCTTCCACAGTAGACCGTTGCTAATGATATTCAGTCATCGAATATGGTGTATTTTGCATGCACAATTGTTCACAAGGACTCACACCATTTTGATGATAGTTGTAGTTGATCTCCAAGTTTCTGCTCCGTACACTAAAACTGTTTTGACGTTCGTGTCGAACATTCTGACTTTGATATTGGTTGACAGTTGTCTTGAGTTCTTTGGATGAATTGGTGAATTCACCAAATGGAAGTCTAAACCTATCCATTTACCGAAAACCGACGCACTCAAATCGTTATATTGACTTTCATTCAGCACATCCTTTCAGTGCTGATGATGATTCGAATGAAATGCCATGGATTGGTACTGCAGTTCTACCATACCGTCATGGCAAAACAGAAGAAATCCAAAGAATCTTAAAACATCACAGAATTAAAGTATATTACAAAACAACGAACACACTACGTAATACTTTAGTTCGCCTGAAAGAAAAAATCCCTTTCATGTCCACACAGAACTGCGTTTACAAATTAGGTTGTAGCGATTGTGATGCCGCAAAATCTTGACTAGATCCAAAGAACATATTAGGTACAGAAAGAAACCTCCTAACAATCCTGTAGAATTGAACCAACTTCAAATTAAATTGGCAATAGCAGCTCATGCCATTTTCAATAACCACCAAATCGATTTTAAAAATATCAAAATATTGCAAAAAGGCTTTTCCAACTACAAAGAAAGTGAAGATTAAATTACAGGTAACTCCCAAGGACTATTAATGGACTAATATTCTATAAATATTCTTACTGTAAAACTATTGAATAATTAGATTATGTATATTTATATTCCTCTTATTATAAGCTTTATTTTGACCTATATTTTATTATTGTACGATTTACGATTCTTAAGCTATGCTCAGTCCCTTAATCCTACTTCTCTCAATAGAAAAGAAGGCCTTACCATACATCCTACTTGGACCATCTATCCTAACCATTCAGTTTGATCGTATTTACAATTTCACACTATCATATTACAAATTTAAACTATCCTTTCCTACCATAAAGGTCACACAAGTTTTCATTCTTAAACCATGCACACATACATACACACACAAATTTACATACATATCACTTATGAATCACCTTGACAGAAATGACATGACATCAACTTGTTCAGACCTGTTTTTGATTGATCCAATATTATTCTTGCATTGTTCCGTTGTACTATTTAAACTTGGACTAATTTTAATTTGGTTATCTATTCTCTGAAGAAGTGGCTTACACTAAGTCACGAAACATCAGAAAATCTGATTTTCTACTCATTGGGATATTACAAATATATTATTTTTATTTATAACAATCAACCCAATGCTCAATTTATTCGAAATTATCAAGTCAAACCTTGGAAATGATACCTTCAATCAAAACGGTTGTAAGTAATAAAGTTGCAATTATTTTAATTCCTCCCCGACAGTGAACATAGTTTTAGACTACTTACCCACATGAAACTGCTTCAAGAATTGCTATACAAAACGCTTCAGTAAGAGAAGTATTTAGAAAGATATCACCTTGTATTAAAAGCTGAAAAACGAGAAAAATTCAAGAAAGAAGTTCAAAGTTAAGACAGTACTGTAATGAGTTTAGTATTTTCTTTGCGCAAATACGTATATTTTGTTTTATTTATTTTAACACATATATATTGGTACAAGGAGGCACCAAATACATATGCGCCGCACAAATCTCATTTGATATGTGTGAGGGCCGGGATACTACTGCCCGGGTGCCCAAACCGAAGCATATATATATATATATATATCACTCTAATCCTTATGCAATCTCGGTTATCAAATGTGATTACAAGTAAAAACAAATTTGAAACAGGAAAATTTATGGAAATAAATCCACATTTGAGGTGACCCAGAAGTTCGAACAGGCTGAAGGTACCTAGATGATTTTGTCATTGTCATGACTATCCCTTCTAAATTCTATTAGGGCTGTACACGATACACAAGAATTGAAGGGTACGGAAGAAATAAAATAAAAAGCTGAATATCAACTATATTTAGCTAAGTTGTGAATTATATGAGTCGAACTTATTCAAGATGGGGAAAACAGGAAGTAAGATTATTTAGCTGACGTTTCTGGAAGTAGTCACATTTAAAACAAGTCAGACTGACGTAAGTAAATAAGGAAGACAAACTACAATGCAACATAGATAACCGCCGGTTAAAAGTACTGACTAACTTCAACAAGTGGTTAGACAGCAAAATGTTACAAAGTCTGAGGTTTATCTTAGAAATGAACTAACTACGTGATCATAAAAGATTTCCAGTTTCCATTAGCTTTAGTTTTAGATTGTTGTGATACTGTTAAATATTGAACTGGGCTGCTAGTAATAACAGAGATACAGTATTGAAGCTCACTTAAGCAAACAAACAATATCAATTTACAAGCCAAAAATGTCTACAGTTACAATATTTTAGAAAACAAGATACCTTCGATTCATCAAGTGTTCTAGTCAACATTTATCATTCTAATGTCTTCGGAAATGTTAAAATCATTGGGAATTACAGTGGCTCTTACTACAATAGGCTGGATTGGAATGGTTAAATTTCGAACACAAATCGGAGCATATGGTATCATAAAGGTAACACACAAAGTTTGGATTTTGCTTGTTTGCAAAATGTGTACTAATAAACAAAACGTTTAAATGGTTTCACAATCGCGAAATCCTCTCTTCTTTTTTCCCGTTATCAAAGTAACAACAACGGGTCAACAGTCTTATTTTCTGATTCGCGCTAGTTAATAAAAGTGAATAATATATTCAACTGGGACAAACATTTAATAGAATTGCTTAGTAAGATCATTCTTGATGTACGAATACAAAATATTCGTTTTTAACTATATAAGTCTCTGTCTCTCCAGAATATAAAACTTACATAATTAAATGTATTGAACCACAAGAACACAAACCACGAAAAATAAACGTTGCTATGTAACAACTCACAGGCCGAACTTCATGAGGTTGTAAACCTCCTAACAATTTTACACGTGAATGTAATTGATACTGTTCGCGTATCTCTTCTAGTTCAAGTCTTTTAGGTCCATCACCACCTAAAATCATAGAATTTAAATAGATTAACGTATAATGTGGCACACATATGCGTTGTCTGAGTTGGGTGGTTTAATCGGTACGCTCTTATTGTCTTTCGACACAATACTATCGGGATAAACTTTAGTAGAATGATATGATCAGTGTCAGCAAGAACCGATCAAATTCTAGTGTTAACTATTAAACAAATATTGTTGTGACCCAAGATCTGACTCCGATTTAAACGAACGAATGAATATAAATCTTCCAATGAATTCCATATATTACACCTGGGCTAACCCCGTTTCAGCGATGGCAGTAATAACAAGCCGAATACGAATTGAGTGAGATGAATTTATCTCATCCACTTGTTTGCTAAGACATATCAAAACGAGAAGCTGGAAAACGAAGTGAAACGGAGTAGGTACGATTCAACAAAGCGCGACTCAATATTTATAGTCAGGAAAATAAGCTAAAGATATGATGAATAAAGTAGGCGATACACACACCTACATAAAAGCAATCAGAGTTATAAGCAAATAATTGAAAAGGTCAGATAATGTGTGAATAATGTCTCGAGAAGAATAAATTATATGGTTTTTGCAAAAGCTAGAATAACCTACGTAGGCATAACATAGTACTAGACGCTTTAATATGGACAGAAATTCAAAGAGCTCATTTCTATTTGAATTCTGTGCTAACAACGTTATCAAAATACAAAGAGAGCTTCATGATTAAACTTCCCTGTTCAGAGAATATGAATCCATCAAAATAATTTCACACCTATGCTAATCCATGTACTGTTTTAAACAAGGTCAATAACTACATACATAAATCTGTGATTTTACCATTTATTAAGGATTGGATCTTCTGAACAAGAAAAGTAAAGAGACTGGCTCCATTCTCATAAACATCATTTGCTCAACACATGGATATATATCGGACCGTAAGTATGAGGATCTTAGAGCAAAAGAATGAAACTTAAAATATCGGTTTGCCAGGTTAGATACACTATGTGAAATTCAGGTTTAATAATCATTAATGTTGTGGATGCGGAGGAATAGACCAATAATTATCATGTTAAGTCCAATGGTGTCCTTGGACTTTAAATGGACATTTCCTATTGGTCGATATCTGTCCACTTGTTGAATATTGTACAAAATGTTGTTTTCTATTTTTATGGTACGATGTGGTATGCTTGACTGGTATATAAACAAAGTATGTTTGAAATATAGTGATTCATATCTCAGAGGTTGTGGCTTGTGTTCTGGACTCAACTGACTGGGCTAGACAGGGAAGCGCAAACCAATCGAGACTCTAGGCCGTCCGTCCGTGTTTACGTGTCACTGTAATCGATCGATAACACAGGGTAAAAATCGACCACAACTTAAAGCCATAACAGTTAAGAAAGTGGATATCCATCAAGCGGGTAAAACAGTAAGTTTTGATGTCAATGTAAAAGATATTAGGAGACTAAAGACTACAACTTTGGGTTATATACAGTAATGTTTGAAGCTGTTCAATGACATGATCACTAAGGGTGGATGTACAGAATTATTTTGCATCAATAATTACACACCCAATGCAACTATTCCTCATTTCATGGCTCCATAACATAAACTGACTGTTTCTATGATAGTGTCATAAAGTCCCAATGTTAGCAAATAGCAATACCTGAGACAGTATGCAGAATGTGTCAAAATCAAACGATTTGGAGTTGTTGGATAAGTTTATTTATAAGAAAGGATAATCGCCATCTTAAAAAATTAGTCAGCAGATGCCAATATTATTCGAATGGTAATCTTAGAAAGGCGAGTAATGATGCAGCGACAGAGATTTCAAAGCACAGGGATCCACAGAATGCCATCAGTCTGGTTGAAAAATGTCTTGAAGTTGTAAGCCAAATCAGATGCTTTAAAAATCTGACTGCTGATCAAACTTGTCATGAAATTAATAAAAATAGTTGGGACAGGCATATGCAACTTTAGCTATCCAAAAACCAATCTCTTCTGTCACAATACCATTGGTGCAAAAACTGTTAGCGGGACATAGACTGGATTAAAGCATGCTCAATGCACGATTACTTTGGTACATACTGATTAGCTAATTCTTAGCCAATCAGCACTAGTCGATACTAGGAGAATACTCTAGAAATCTTCTCATGTAAAAACTATAAATATACTAACGTTTTTCTTATTGTGCTTCCTACTTCCATCTAACTTTGTTATTTGGAATACAATCTCTTTCCTGTCTAACCGTGTTGATTTGGGGACTTGTCGAGTGAATTGGTGTCCGAGAATACTAGCAATATGAATAGCTGGCTTATAACCGTAAGAGAGAAATATAACAAAAAACATCAAAGGTTTGTTACTAAGTAACAAAGTAACCTAGTTCCCTTGACCACCTTGCACACGACCGTATTAATGAAAAGCTATATAATTATGAACACTGATTTAAACTACCTAAATATAATTTAGGTAGCGTGTATGTAATCGAAAAATAAAAATACCACATTACAGATATTGAGGTCTTTCTACATAAAATATGTCCGTATTATTAACACGTACCACCTTCAGCACTGTTCCTAAAATATCATAAATGGTAGTGTTAGCGAGGGACGGAGAAGTCGGGCAACGCTACCTGACCCTAGTGATGGTTTGGAACAACAAATAATGACAGTTACAAAACCTGATTACACATTATTCAAATTTGCATAGGACCTCAAAGATAGAGATGTACAAGAGGTATGTTTGTCCACACGAAATAGTATTTTACAGAAGTTAAACTTTATTTTTCAGATGGTCGGCACAATATAAAAAAAATCTCGTTAGACGTACCTGGTACTATAATTTCGGTACAGCTACTGACTTTAACAATCATTCCCCTAATATATAATGGTCTTGAACAAACAGATTATTCCCAATATTCAGTTTCATCACCATTGATCACACTTAGGAATCAGTAGGAATTCGGGAAATATTAATGGCTACATCGGAAAAGATTTCCTAATATTAAATATGAGCAAACTGTTTTGATCAGAAAAATCCTAAATCATTATATATTCTTATTTACCATAAATCAGTTTAAATATTCTAAGTCGAATGAATAAGAAGAATATTATGAAAAGCGTTTAAAAAGCAAGTAACATACCTACCTATAAGAAATCTTAATTCCGGAAACAGAGAACATAATGACGGGATGATGGCAACCAATAAATCAAGACCTTTTCGGTAAACTAAGCGAGAAACCACAACAATAGTAACTGGAAAAAAAGTCAATTAGAAAAAAAGATTACATTAAGTGCATACTTTGGATTTGAATAAACTTCATCACAAAGACTTCTGAAGGAACTATTATTGGTAGGAAAACCGTGATAACAAATTATTTCAGTCCATTTTTCATTCAGGGTTTACCATCCACTTCCACCATCTTTATCTTTGTCACATACACTCTTTTAGAGATGGTGCTTTCTCCTAAATTTATAGTGATTGGTCTCTAACCATGCCGTTCATTTATCGACTCACAATGTGCAGATGACATAGTTCTGTATAAGCATGCCGAAAAAGTGCAGTCTTATGGTTCCTTTGACAAAGTCCAATTATGGTTCGTCTGAGTTTCTAAATTCAAAATAATGTTTTAGGTATGGTCTGAGTTATCCCTCTAGATTAATCATACGGAGTGAATTAGTTGATTTTGTTGACCACTTGACTTGTCTCATCAGCTTTGGTGGTGTTATGTCACAACAAGAATATTGAATGGTAACTTTTGCGATCTATTGATGGACCAATACTAAACGTATATTTCAATTGTACAATTATTAAGTAACTAAACTATGCATATTCATATTCCTTTTATTATAAGCTTTATTTTGACCCATAAACTATTATTATACGTTTTACCATTTTTGAGTTATACCCAGTATATTAATTACTACCTCCCTCATTCACAGCCACATCTGGCTAATTCTTGTACAAATGTTATTTCATATTTTATTGGTACTTTGTGATCTGTTTGATTGGTATATGAACTCAGTATGTTTGAAATATAATGATGTATATCGCAGAGGCTGAGACTTGTGTTCTGGACTTAAGTGGCTGGGCTAGGCAGGAAGCAGGGTCAATCAGGACTCTAGGCTGCTCACACGTGTTTTACGCGTCCTTGATCCGATCGATAATTCTCTGCTTCTGATTGGCGGCTTTGGGTTATAACAGGTGGTTTGATGCCTGACAAAATCTTAGCATGGATCCAGAGAGCTCGATAACTTTTTCTAATTTGTGTCAACCTTTGGCGTAATCGAGATATGTGTTTACAAACAAAGAACGGATATAATGAGCAAAAGTTTGCTATGGTTGTGAAACTTGAACTTTAAAAGTAGGAGGACTCAAGTAGTATTCAAATGTAAAAAAGTAAACTTCATCAAAGTATCTAAACAAATTACTAACTGTAATTAGGATCACGACAAGACGGGTCAGGAATAAACGCAGAGGCATCCACTGCATTAGGAATTACAAAAACTCGATCAGCATCATATTTAGCTCGAAGAACTACATTTTCTTTGGTAGTATGTGAAACACAGATCACTTGGTCTACAGCTGTAAATACACCTTCCATTACTTTATTCATAATTATTGCTGACAAATCTGAAAAACCGAAAAGTGAGTGCTCTGTATGAACAGTTCGACAGCCAAGGCTCTGTGCGTGAATTGCAGCTTCACAGGCTAAAGGAGAAAATATCTATAACGAGGAAGAAAAGTAATAAAGGTATTACACATTTTAACCACATATATGCATTCTAAGATGAGGTTGCAAACTTCGTGTTTTGTAAATGTTTCGTCAACCGATGGAAGAAGATGCATATACTGTGTAATTGGGACGTACAATCCCATAAGACGTTGTTACACCTTAAGTCAAAGCTTTTAGATTACAGTTTGCTAGGGTTGTTACATATCAAAAAGTATAATTAGGTTGCGACTTGGTATCGCTGACTTGGATATTATGATTACATCAAATGTTAAATAAATAATCAATAGGTCTTTGTTACTTCAGGGGACAGTGACTTTAAATGATAAACAGGTTGTAAGACTATATTTTATATGATAATTCCAAACATCTAGGCTTCTATAGAGCATCTCGACACCCAACAGACTATGTGGTCAGTCCAACAAGTACGCAAAGTGGGCTACCCAGATTATGAACAAGGCTGAAAAAACAACCAATCGTACTGAGGGTATATAATTTACATAGATTGATAAAACAAATCGCATGAATCTGCACGATGTTACCTTTACTCTTGTCTTTTAACCCTTGAGAACCAACACATAAGACAACAATCTTGTGATAAGCTAGAAAAGAGGTCAAATGCTGTAGGTATTACGGAAGACATTGCTAATGCATTAGCTTTGTATAATAAAACACAATGGATATGCCCTAATCACTCACCCATTTACAACTATTGCTTAACTCTAAGCCTCTTTTGTTGTGATTATCTGACGACTACGGACAACTATTCAATATAGAATAAAGCAATGTAAATATTCTGTAATAAAAGAATATGACCATCTTATCATCTGTGACACATTTACATAGTTAATCCCTTAATACAGAATGATTTTAACTATTAGATATTTAAATTCACTTGGCATTGTCTAGATGAATCTTCTCATTGATGTTTAGGACTGTAATTTATCAATCTCTTATTGGCATGTGTGTATACTGTGCATATTGCCAAATTCACAAGCATTATAAGCAAAAACGAAACGCGTGTCCTGGATTGCAGTCCTAAACAGCAATGGGAAGATTCAAGTAAACAATAACAAGTTAAACTTCACCCCATTGCACAGGCAATTAGCTATCAGGACTCAGTAGCTAAGTGGATAACGCGATGGCGTGTGAAGCGAACGGTAATGGGTTCGAGTCTCAGAGATGTAGATACATCCAGCTGACCTGTCTCAAATAGAACGATACGCACATCCTGGATTCCACTGCTAGCTACTACCCATCTTTGCTTCATATTTATATTATAACTACGAATATATCTATAAAAGGCTAGAATACATATGGTTCATATGTTGCTGTCCATAAACGTGTTTGTCCAACACCCGACAGATATTAAAAACAAAAGGCCAGCCTATTTAAAAGATTAGCTAACATGATAAAACTTAACAAAATATTTTTAGTTTATTATAAACATACTGAATGTCCATGTACAATATCAATCTGTTCACGTATTACTATTTCACGAATTATTGGTAATGTGCCCAGAACTGTGATGAAAATTGACTGTTTATAAAACGGTTGAATTGGAATATAATAGACCTAAAATAAAAATTTTAATTAAACAAAACCAAATTACAACCACATACTTTAAGTCCACGTGGCAAATATCTTACACCTTGACGTTGACCACCTTCAGAATCATAAGAGTGAGTGATTATAATAACTCGATGACCACGTCGAATAAGGCATTGAGATAAAGCAAAAATATGACTTTCTACACCGCCAACATTCGGGTAACAAAAATCTGATACCATGCTAAAATAAAAAATCGAATTCTAACATAATCATGAATAATTAAGCATGATCTATGAGCAAAATGATTTTTATTGTTGAAAATAATGAGCTGTGTTTTAGTGGCTAAAACGTACTTAACTGTTAACCATCGATTTGCAGGTTCGAACCCCAGTCCACTTAATTTTGAGAAGCTGATTAGTGTTATTAGCCGTCAGGCATGAAAAAACTTGCTTGTTTCACTTTTTTAATGATAAATTTCGCGAAAATGTGATCCCATTAAAATCTACTATAAACGAAGGATATAAACCGATGCAAAACATTGTAAAAGATATATGCATATTAACATTGGGAATGAAAACGTAGTGACATTTGATGTAAAATCAGATGAGAAAACAGCCTTGAAAAAGAATATCTAAATAATCATGACGATAAATTCAAGCTGACATATTTTGAAATGTAAATCTTAACACATTTATGAGACATTAAGACCACTTTTTTCCTCAGTGAAATGACTCTAAATACATAGACGTAAGAATTACAGCTTTATTCTTATCTAAGTTAAATTGTTCGCAGAACTTCGAACGTCAGCGTTACAAAGGATTTCCACATGATCGCACTTCAAATGAATGCAGGAAGTTTTTAATGGTTACACAACCAAAGTACAAATTTGTGAAAACAGTTAATCACGAATAATTTATACGATTTACAGTTACATTAGAAATGGTGGAATGAACTTTTTCGTCCTGTTTTGAAATCCTGCTTATCAAGTCTCAACTGTGTTGAAAAGGTATGCGAAAGGTTTGGGTTAGATTGAGAGTGGAACCGTGGATGCTGACTGTTAAAGAGTTACGAACCAGGACGAAACAACAGTCCTAAGTCCTCCTTCCAGGTTTTCATTAGTTCTTTAGTTGATATCACATAGTGATCAAAGCTATCCCTGAATAATTTCATGATGATTTGATTATTCAACCCATAATAATTTATATTGGCTCCAATTGGTTGAATTCATTGGATGTTGGTAGTTGACTATCATCCTTTTGCATATCAATTTATAAATCTTATACGTATTTGTATGAAGAAAATAACATCAGCAGCTACACAGTTAACTTAATAATTAGATCATTTCTGATCCCGATAGATCGCATATAGCTCATTCCTGCACATTTATCGTGGTCCGTCTTCAGAAATTACCAGTATGAGGGTTCGTGGAGATTGTCATGTTATTGAAATCACGATCTAAATCAAGTTAGACAATTAATGAAAACCAGGAAACACTGGGTAGTTGTCTCACCTTAGTGTCGAAACCCTCAATAGTGTGCATCCACGACCCCACCATATGAGGTCGAACCCAGGACCTTCGAGTCTCGCGACGGGAGCTTAACCTTTTGACTGTTGGTTTAGATAATTAAATTCAATAAATTTACGATATTGCGCGAGCATCTCCAATTGTTTTCGGTAACTGCCGCACACCCAAGACGGTTGAATTCCGCTGGTCACGGTTTCTTACTAGAACTCTGAAAATCGCATATCATTACTACAGAAAAAGGCAGGTTAAAGGCTGATGTTTTAGTTAATGCAGTGAAAATCAAAACACGAGGACAGTAAAAAATATACAAATTATTAGGTTTTAAGGAACAATAACCATTTAACATGGTATATTAGTTATAATTGTTGATTAGTTAGTTTTATGAAATTGTAAAATACTAACTTATTGACAAATAATGTATATTACCACCCAGTCTAATTAATTCAAATTCGATTATTGATCAGTACATGTAAAACATATTTAAAAAACCCAATGTATTCGGGCATGGATTTTAGCTTATTTTCGATACATAATAAATATTCATCTGTTATCTTTGTTTCCTTCCTTGTCACAATTCCTCAGCATATGTTCCAAACAAACAGTTAATATCAGTTAGGAACGATGTTCACTTATTTTTTCTCAACTAAAAAAAGACTATCAAGAAATATCTCGATTATAAAATGCTAAGCCAACAATGACTTCCAACGTAATAAGTAGTAACGTGAAGAGCGAATTGACAAAAAAGGAACTTACGCGATGTTGAATCTTCCTTTCTTTTGTGGTGAGTTGAGATAGTCATAATTCATCTGATAAAAGTTGTAAATATACGCCTCTGAAAAATGGAAATTAAAAAATGCATTATCAATTGTTACACAAGTAAAACTGCAACTCATTAACAGCATAGGACTATACAGTAAAGTGTAACACATAAGTGCTAGATTCGCTCTTGGAAAATATTTTTTAGATAAATGTAGGCTTCACCAGTAGATACCAACAAATACACTTCTACTGGCTATCATTTAGTGTTTAGTGATACTTTTATAACATATCATTACTTCTTAACTGTCACTAGCGAAATGAAACTCGATAATTTCAAATAAACTGAACACCGGATGGATTGCTTTTTAAATACACCAAGTGTTTTACGTTTTTTCTTTGCAATCACGTCAATTAATTTCGGTCATTTATTTATTCTCTGAAGACGCAGATTATGTTAAGCCGCAGAAAGTCAGAAACTCAATTTTCTACTCATTACGACACTACAAATGTATTATTGTTGACCATAAATAAATGTTTGCAAAGTATGGCAAATCGACTATATTTCGTTGTCTCATATTTAGCAGCGTCCAATTTAACTAGCTAGGTAGTTTAAAACAAACTTAAAATAATTGGAAATCCACAAGCAAAATGCTAACCAAAGAACACTAAACTATTAAGAAAACAAAATTGTATTGTGATTGATTTATATATTTTTGGGAGAAAAGATTTGTCTGTATGTGGTAACCTGACAGACTGCTTCAGCTTGTGTACATTAACATCGTATGACCGCCACCAACATTAAAACCTCTATACACACATTTACAACCATTGATCATCCCATTAAATGTGCTATTGTGTGTTCTATTACCAACGCCTATGTATAAACTGTTTTCTTTATTTTTCAGACTGCTTGATTTTTACTCTCGACGTCCCTTTTACACTGACTATTGATTCCGGAACTAAGTTTCAATGAGTATTATTTGGCAAGTTTACCTGCCTTTTTGCAATTTATTATATCAGCGGGACGGTGACCACCCAAAAGCAAGTTGTTTAGTAGTGACTCTGCTACCAACTGAAAATCTCTCTCGTAGCCCAGACGAAAACTGTATATTTCTAATACAGTTGAATGAAACCACCTACATGGGACACCGATCACTGACCCGGTATATTTGGGTTTTTAATCAATGCATATACCCCAGTGACGATCCTCCTTAACCACCATATGTAACGGAGAGGCCTCTGGTATGCTAAGTTGGTGCCTAGTCGGATAACTATGCCTGAATTCTCTTTCGGCATCAGCGAGTCTATCCGGTGGCAGACCCTCGTTAAAAAGTGATGAAAACATAAATACACCAACAGTCAATATATAAACGAATTATGAATAGTTATGACTAGGAGTTACTTGCATGTTCAAAAAATGTGCTGAAAAAGCTCAAAAATACACAAATTTATGATCACAAAGTGTCATTTTCAAATATAACACCATATATATATATATATATATATATATATATATATATATATATATATATATATATATATATATATATATAGAGAGAGAGAGAGAGAGAGAGAGAGAGAGAAAATCGAGACGCCAAACTGCAAAAGCATGGCAACGGGATTAGTTGTGGCTAGTCAAGCAGTAGATGTGGTTGAGAACAGAGTGAAGTGAGAGGTAGTGCATTGTGAATGATTGTCGAGAAACAAAGCGTGTGAACAACATTACAATTTAAATGGAAATGTTGTACTCTCACTTATGAGAAATGTATAGGTCGGATGGAATTTAAAGATGGAAACACTGGAAATTTAATCACATATTAAATCTTCCCTACCTATATGTACAATGCACTAAAATAATAATAGGTCCTAAATCTTAAGGTCTTAAAATCATAGTATCCAAACATGAAAGAAACAATTCGCTATGAGGAAGTCGGCAATTTACAGTCGTTAATTTATAATTGACTTACAGAGATAATTCCCAACACTTTTAAAAGTTCAAATGTTCACGATTTTTATAAAAATCAGAAGAACTCTACAGTTACCGGTACACAGAAGCCACATTAATCTACAAATATGTCACTAACTCCATACACATGTAAGGATACTTCTTGTAATCCTATAGGATAACAGATAAAAGTATATATCCACTTTCAAAAATAAGAGTAAGTTACGAATGCACAATCTGACCTGAAATTTGGTTCTTAACTTCCATAAAATCTGAATAGCTTGCTCTCACTTAAAATCTAACTATAGTTAATAATACAGACCTTAGTGACAGCATGATATTGAGTTTTTGCATAGGCGTACATGATTTTCAGGATTGTCATGTAATAATACTTATACCTAACCTCTACTACTACCGATAGTTACTATTACTATGGGATTTGTCTTTAAAAAATTAAGTGGTAAAGTGGTGTTGCGACCTGAACTGATATATGACATATTTAGTGTTCTACATGAGTAACTGGAGGCTGTTATGCTTGTCAACATTTTTTTCAGGAAAAGCGCGCTCTATTTAAAAGGACAATGGTATTATTTCTCGTTGAGTTAATTAACTGTTTTGATCGTAAATTACGCATCAAAACTACTGTTTACACTTTAATTGCATCTACCCCAGTTAAAGTGATATTGTATTGAGTTTTTCGATTTTGCTTCTGTGTATTTATTGCATCGAACCATACTTGGTTGACTTTTACTTGGTTTATTTAGTTAAGGTTTGAAAATCCTTTTACAAATCCTGTTTTTGTCACCGTTCTAGTTGATTTTCAAGATGGCTAGGTCTACTCATAAATGTGGACAACCATACTGCTTATTTCCCGTGGATGAAGGGATGCAATGTGATGAGTGTAATAAGTGGTTCCATAAGATGTGCACCCGACTAAGCCCCACTGCATATAAAAGGTGTTCAAAGCCCAACTCTCTTTGGCTTTGTAGTTTTTGTTGCTCGAGCAAAACTTTGCTTATCCAGGAAGCAATTAGTCTCCTGTTGTTGGCTAATAAGAAGGTTGATGAGGGCTGTACTGATAACATTGGTACTGATGGCGAAGATTGCGTTAGTGTCGTAAGTGCTATCACGGCGCAAGCCAGACACCTACCTGTGCAACCCGCAGTTAAACGTTCTTCCCCGAAACAATCAGTGAGTGACACGTCATTAGACGTTGGTGGCCATATTGCTACAGCAGAAACCGGTGACCCAGATAAAACAATTACTGTCCCGAGTTGTTCTAATGTAGACGTTTCGACTGATGGAAAATGGATGACGCGAAAACGCAGAAGAGTAGGGAAGATAGCTAAAACTAATGACTGTTTACTTGGTAAGTCCTTGGTGGACTCTTAGACCAATCCGCCAAAGTCCCATAGTAAAGCTTCGTCTGACATTGTTGTGAGTCATTTGCTTGACTCCCAGGACTCTGTTAAAATAAAAACTAATCGTAAGATACCAGTAGTTAAAATACAGGATCTAACGTCACGGTCGAAAGCTGTGAACACAGTTTCAAAAGAAGCTAAACCCCTCCCTAGTTTAATTATTTGGAATCTAGAGGAGTCGAAAGACAACGACCCTGCTAAAAGACATGCACATGACCAGCAGTTAGTGGAGTCTGTGGTAAGGAATGTACTACCAGAAGAGGTTTCAGGGGTACATATTACAAAAGTAATACGACTTGGTAAATGGGTTGGAGGCGAGACCCAACCAAGAAGGATCCTGAAGCTGGTTCTCGGGAGTTTTGAAGAAAGAGACATATTATTGAAAAGCGCACTGAAAACTCGTGCCTCCAATATCCGTATTCGACCAGATTGGCCGCTTGAGGATCGAATCAAGTGGAAGAATGCTCTTACGGAGTTGAGGACTCGCAAATTAAATGGCGAAAATAACCTTACCATTAAGGATTTTCGGGTAGTCAGGTCTTGGAAGCCAATGCTTCCGAGGCCTGTATGGGTAGAACGATTGATTGCCAAAACACCTTAAGTGTGTGCTACACGAACGCTCGTGGTCTTAGAAATAAAACGTCCGAGCTAAGTCTGATGGTGCAAGAATTATGTCCCGATATAATCGTTATTACAGAAACTTGCTTCACCGTTGATATAGACTGTCCTCCTTTGATTGCTGGTTATATCTGTATCAGAAGTGATAGAGTTTCAAGTCGCAAAGGGGGAGGTATAATATTATACGTTAGGGATCACTTTCGTATACAATCAACCATATCGGAGGCTCATATCAGTGGCACATGTGAGGTTGCATGTTGTAAGATTAAATCTAGAAATGGGTTAGTGACTATAGGGGGAATATACCGTAGTCCGTCTTGTCTTGCTGACGACTTTATCCTAAGACACATCTGTTCTTGGAGTATGGCAGAATGTTGTCTCATCATTGGGGACTTCAACGCACCGCATATCAACTGGATAGAGCTTACAGCTCCAGGTAGTGGTTTCGATAGCGACCTTTTATCTACCGTTATTCAGTGTGCACTTGTACAATGTATCACAAAACCGACACATATTGATTTGCAACATGTTCCGTCACTGCTGGACCTCGCCCTCCCCACCACTCTGAGGATGTCTTTGATATCCAGCACCTTCCTCCACTAGTAAACAGTGATCACGTTGTAATTCACTTTAAGTTTAGGACACATGGTATACAATTCGTATCTGCTCCACCCCGTCCCAATATCTGGCGAGCTAATATTCCGGAAATCAGAAACTGTGCTATCTCGACCGATTGGTCGATCGACGCGGAAGGATTGATCGAAGATGAATGGAATAAGTTTAAGGCTACATTCGAGTTCGTAACGTCGCCGTTTATCCCATGGTCAGCACGTAAGCTATCACATTGCCCTCCATGGATTAATAAGGAAACCCGGAAGCTGTTAAAGCGTAGGAAACATTTCTGGGACTTATTCTTGTTGACAGGTCATGCACCATTTAAGCGTGAGTACCAAAAATACCGTAATATCTGTAAGAAAACCATAGCGAAATCCCGTACCACTTACGAACGACAGTTAGTATATGAAAGCCGTACTTGTCCGAAACGATTGTTTTCGTATGTTAAACGGCAAATGAAACGTAGTGATGGTATTCCCCCGTTGCTGTTACACGAAAATTCAGAATTACTAGCTGAATCAGATCGAGCAAAAGCTGAGACTTCTTCTGATTATTTTGGCGAAGTCTTCTCTACGTTTATTGTAACAAATACTTGTCCCACTCACACCGAGATACCAACCATTGAATCTGTACAGGTGACTGAGGAAACTGTCCTTCAGTTGATAACTAACCTCAAACCTGGTAAGATACCGGGCCCTGACGGGTTACATCCACGGTTGCTGTCACCTCTTGCGGACATTATTTCAAAACCGCTTGCGACACTCTTCAACATGTCCCTCGCACTCGCTCAACTCCCTAGACATTGGAAGGACGCTATAGTTAGTCCTATATTTAAGGACGGTCAGCGACAGATAGTATCTAACTACCGGCCTGTCAGTCTAACTAGCATAGTCGTTAAGTTACTCGAAAACATAATTCGGGTTAGGTTGCTAAGCCACATAGATTTACACAATCTGTTAGCTCCCATAAGAAACGTTTCTGACAAAATCTAAGATCAACCAATATTTGAACAGAAAAACAGTCCATGATGATTTTTATTGACAATATAGTTGTCAACCCACTGCAAAAAAAATAAAACCAAATTACGATCACTACAACTTCACAGCTCACTACACGCTCGGTACCTTTGACCTTCAGACAAAATGTCGGTCTTTTTGGAGGCCGTTACATGAAGAAAGACATAAGTGAAATCATTACTGTTGATACGCTTAACTTGAAATGAGTTGAGATATCTCATTTTGTCAACAAGAGAACAAGGTACTGTCTGAGAAAACGATTCGTCATTTTTATTCAAATGGTTCAAATGGTTGTGGACGGAATAGAAGAAGCTTTCAAATGGTTCAAATGGTTCAAATGGTTGTGGACGGAATAGAATAAGTTTTCGCTTAACAGGCTTCCGTGTCTAGTAGCAGGGGATCACCAAATCCTACAGGCAGGAACCTAGGTATGTTAACAATAAAAAAGGAAAAGGAATTGGTAAATCATAGTGTGATGCTGTCCTTGGTCCTTAAGAATAGGTCGAGTTGCCTCTTAAAGGACTCCTGAGAATTTGCTTGGACTAGCTCGGCCGGCAGCGAATTCCAGATTTTGACAACTCTTAAGGAGTAGAAGTTGTGTCTACATTCCGTCTTGCTATGTTGTGTTTCCAGTTTCTGGGTGTTACCCCTTAGGTTATTATTCGAACTAAGCTTAAGTAGGTGTTTAAGAGGATGTCCGGAAGTGTTAAAAATACTATAAGCCATTAATACATCACCTCTACGACGCCTATACTCTAATGGGTAAAGGTCTAGTGAATGGAGGCGTTCTTCGTAAGGTTTAGATTTGAGTCCTCGAACTGATTTCGTGGCTCGCCGTTGGATACGCTCCAAAGTGACCTTGTCCTTTTGGAGTGAGGGAGAGTACTATGTTTCCGTACTCTAAATGGGGACGGATGAAACTATTGAAGATTGTGTGGAAAGTTCTTCCGTCAAACTGGCCAAAAATGCGCCTCAACGTTACCAGTGCAAGGTTTGCTCGGAAGGCATTTTTGTCACAGTTAGCATAAAACTTTAAATCATGAGGCACCAGGACTCCCAAATCTTTTTCGACTTGGGATACTACTAGAGAGGAGTTTCCTAAGTTGTAACTGTAGTTTGCGACATGTCTCAGATGGACTACTTTACACTTTGAAGTGTTAAAGGTAAGTCCGTTATCGTCTGCCCAACTTTGAAGTCGAGTCAGATCCTCTTGAAGTGCCTGTATATGGTCTTGGTTGCGTATCTCTCTCCAAAGTTTCACGTCGTCGGCAAAAAGTAATAAGTCTGACGTTACCTGTTGAGGAAGATCATTTATGTAGATCAAGAAGAGAAGAGGCCCTAGTAGTGAGCCCTGGGGGACCCCACTAGGACATTCCATAGCCTGAGATAAAGTGAAATTGACCCTAACCTTAAAATGTCGATTTTGTAGGTATGAAGTAAGCCAATCGATTAGAGGTGGTTTGATACCTAGTCGTTTGAGCTTATTGGTAAGACACAAGTGGTTAACCTTATCAAAAGCTTTTGAGAAATCAAGGTAAATGATATCAACCTTTCCCTTACGATCGAGGATGCTTGTCCATCTGTCAACCACAGTCAGCAGGTTGGTTATACAAGAGTCACCCTTCCTGAAACCATGCTGTTGGGGTGAGAAGAAATTTAAGGACAGTAGATAATCGTTTAAACCGTCGCATATCAGGGACTCCATGAGTTTTGAAGGTAATGACAGAAGAGCCACCGGCCGATAACTTGAAGGTTCATTGCGTCGACCTCCTTTGAAAATTGGTGTGATGTGAGCCAACTTCCAATTTTCCGGTAATTTACCTCGGCTTAGCGAGTGTGAAAACATCACGCTAAGCGGCGTTGCCAGGATTGAGGCTGCCTCCCTCAGTATGGCAGGATGAACCATATCCGGGCCAGGAGAAATATCTAGTTTTAAGTGCTGCAATTTCCGGAACACCAAGTCAGCGCTTAGGTCTACTTCGGAAAGTCCTGTGGAATTGCAGATGAAACTGTCGTCAGTAAAGTTGATGTCAGCCGGTTGAAATTTTTGAGAGTAATGTGCCGCCAGAAGGTCAGCGGCGTCGCCATCGTTGTTGGTCGGGCCGTTAAGACCTAGCAGTTGAGAAACTCCTGTTTTGGCTTGGCGAAGAGAGGCTGCATAGCGGAATAGGCTTCTAGGGTTAGAGGCAAATTTGTCCATAAGCTTTGTCTGGTACTGAAGCCTGTCTTCTCTTATAGCCTCCGTGCATATGTTCCTGATATGTTTATATTGTCTATACGCTCCGTCGTTATCAGTTCGTTTGTATTCCGCCCAACAGTGCCTTTTTTGGCTTAGCAGGCGAAGGGTACGGTTCTTGATTACTGTAGGTGGGTTGCAGCTTTTGGGAACCGTTAGAGGAACTGAATGGTTTGTAGCACATAGGAGCGTATGCAGTAAGAAGTCCCATTGACCGTCCACGTCGAGTTGAGGGTGAACATCCCAAACCACCTGTTGTAGATAGTCATGTAGAGCTGGCACATTCAGCCGTTTAAAATTCCAACGCAAATTATTGTTGGGATACCTTAGCTTAGTTTTGATGACAAAACTGAAGGCTATGACGGCATGATCGCTCTATCCCAGAGGAGCCAGGATTGAGAGGTTGTCAACTAGGAATTCTTCGTTTGTGAATACACAGACTAAGCGCGATGGTGCCTGACTGTTTCTCCAACGAGTTGCCGACCTCACATTTTCATATAAGCCCAAGTCATCGATGAGGTTGAAGAACCGAGCTTCAATTGAGTTGTCGCCTCCAGTGTACGTGTGTTCAGCGAAGTTGACTCTAGGGAGATTAAAGTCCCCTAGAATCAGGATGTAAAACCGAGACGAGTAGAGCGGGATAGTCCTTCCAACATACGACTATCGTACTCGATGTCGGCAGCTGGCTTCCTGTAAATGACTCCGACTAGACACCTCGAAGTACTAGACAATCTAACAGAGCACCATATGGATTCCTCAAGATTGTTAAACTCGAGGTTGTGAACTTGGTGCACCTCTAAGCAAGAGCTTATGTATATGGCTACTCCGCCCCCAATTCCTGTTTTTCTGTCTTTGCGGAACAAAGTCATCCCAGGCAATGCTAACTCTTGGTCCGAGAACTGAGAAGATATCCAGGTTTCAGATATTCCTATCAGATGGGCCTTGTTAGCGTTGCTAAGTTCACGTAATTCATCCAGTTTATTTGGTAGACTCGCGGCGTTTATATATAAGCAGTTTATGCTTTCAATTTGGAACGCGTGAGCTTCATCCTGTTTTTCTGTATGAGCCTTATGTGAATGGACAGGTAGCCCACCTATATGAGGTTTGCCGAGGTGGTAGGCCCTGTCCTTTACACGCTTTTTTTATCATTTAGACAGTCCACAAGTGGCATGGTCAACTCCAACTTGCTTTTGTGTTTGGTCCTAGCTTCATATGGCCTATCCGGGTGCATGTGGATTCCAGGTGGCAATCGACGTCTGTTGACACGAAATGCTTCCAGAACTGCAGCCGCCATGTGGGAAGATGGGAAGGTTATCTTCATTAGACGAGGTCTAGGATCACCGTCCTTCTTGGCTAGTCTCGTCACATGCTGAGTCAGTATGTGTTTGAGCCTCATGGACTGTTTGATGAATTTCCATTCCCTGATGTCAGAATTTGATTGAGTAGGGTCTGCATTTTCCGGTATACCTTGCCAAATTATGTTTCTTCCGAGGAAAAACTGATCGCGAGATTCTTTGGGGATGTTCCGTATGATATTGCTCTCAGAGTACAGTATGTCGGGCAATATTCTTACGTTACCATCGGATTTCAGCAAGTGACTTGCTAGCAAGACGTCCTCCACGTCGGTAGCATTCCTAAGTGTTACTCGGAGAAGCCTCGGGTGATTTAGATGCTTATAATCCTTTCCTCGAGTGAGCCGGGTGACCGTCAAAGGCTTTATTCTAGAAAGTTCGAGCTTCTTGTTCAATTGACCCCAGAGCATCCTGTCGTTTTTGTCCTGCAGACTGAGAGGAAGATCAGGATTGTCATTAAGGTTTATGATAATGAGAGAATCGTCACGACCTGTTGTTAATTTACCAGGTTTCACGATGGGTTCAGGTTTAGTAACTTGTTGTTTGGAGGTCGGTGCGCGTTTTTGAGTCTTGGGCTCTTTGTTGACCGGACGAACAGACTTGGGGGTAGACTGTGCGACCAAATCACCAGTTGTTTTTCGCACAGCAACACTTGGTTTGCTCGGCTTGGGCGGTGATGTCTGGTTCTTTTGGGCTCTCTTAACATGGGCCGAATCACCTACAGGGTTTTGGGAACCACTGTTGTGTTCAGGGACCGTGAGCTGAGAGACCCGAGTTTGCTTGAGGAGTCTAGTACCGTCGACGTAATGATGGTGCTGAGCCTCGAGACGTCATCATTAGTGTTGAAAGGTGCTCCATCGGTGGTATACCTATCGGCATCCCTATTTTTGTGTCCGTCGCACGCTTTTGTTTGTCTACCGATTTTTTTACTATCGTTATCCAAGTTAACTGACAACTTGTTTCGAAGACCTGTCAGTAGGACAATGATGTTACTCAGCAAGACTACAGAGTCTGTGCTGCACGTGACACACACCCACTTTTGCTCTGACTTGCTGAGTCTGTTGTAAGCAGTTGCTGTCAGATCTGTGCATGCTTCGTGGAACCAACCTTTGCAGTTGTCGCACTGCATGCCAGTTGTAACAGCAAAACGGCATACCGGACGTTTGCATGAGTTTTTCATGACTGTGTTGAAGCAAACTATATTATAGATACTTGCAAAAGCTTTAGACCTTTGAAAAACACTAAAATGCACGCTGAAAACGGACAAAAATGGATAAAACGAGTGATATAAACTGAAACTAGTCTGTACGTGAAAAACAAAAAAAACCGAATAGTAAGTTGAGGCAAAACCACAGGTAACTGTTAAATATAGTGAAACTAAAAAAAAGTAATCTACCGAACATATAGCTCAGGATAGATTCTTTAGAACTGAAATGGTACTTTTGTTGCGTAAGAAGACGGCAAAAGTTTGATAAATGCAAATCACGTTAGGACTAAACTTCCCGTTCGGAAAGCGCCATTCTGTCACAACGCATCGCTTAGGTTCTACGCAAATCTGAAGTCTCCACTGGCAACTATGAAGAGCAAACTGATTTCCATTAGTTGAAAAACATTGCAGATATTGGGTTCAGTT